TAACAGGTATCGTCAAAGACCCCATACACGCCTTTATTGCGCGTGGTGGGAAGAAAAATCACGGCCGAGGTGTCCTCAAAAGAGGGCACCTACCATGCACGCCTTTATTGGCCGTGGTGGGAAGGCCCAGTTTTCTCGTAGTTTTCCCCTAAACGGGGGAGACGTCGGGAGGCTGCCGAAATTTCGAGTGAAATATTACTACACTTGGACCTGTTTTGAACTCAAAAGAACAAAATATTTGGACCAAACAAGAAAGGGAAGTGAACTTTGAGCATAAACAAGAACAGTGAACTGTAGATTTGTGGACCTGACTCAGAACAAAGAACAAAATTGGATTTCTAAAGGTCAAATTCAAATAAAAATCAAGTCAAATTGGAACTGAATTCAAACCAAATTGAATATACAATTGAACTCAAAAGATTCCAGAAGACTCCGAACAATCATTTGAACATACATTCGGACTCAAATTCAAAGAAACTAAGTGTGAAGGGCACTAAAACTGAACAAGACTCAGACTACAAAGTACACAGAACTGAACTTGCACATTAGGCTCATGAACCTGATTTAAATTGATCCTTAAAGGGCTTGAACTTGAGCCTGGTTTGAGCATCATCGCCCTCTCACATTCAACGCCAGTCAAAGCTACTACCTGAGATTGGTGAAAGGTGGAAATGGCAAAATTGACAACGACTCCCCTACGAGTACTCCCAAGAGCTCGTAGTGGCTTCAACGGGTTCCCGTAAATGCGTACAAGTCACTTGTGGATAACAACAGTGTGTATGTCATATGTACAACGAACCACTGTGGATACAAGTACATCTCTTACGACGATCCTTACGAGGTCAAATGAACCATATTGGAAAACAACAATAGTAAGTTGCAAAGTTCACATACGACTGTCGTATGTGTTAATATGATCTCAAATACAAATAAACGCCTGTTGATTGAGATGTCAATACAGGAGACCAATAATGGAAGATCCGCCTTCCTACAAACAAATGCAATACAATCATACCGCCCGAGATCGGTGAAAGGGTGGATATGATGCAAGAAACAAGGGTCTCCTACGAACATCCCTAGGAACTCGTAGCAAATACGACGGATCCTTACAAGCAAATATGAGCTACTTGTGGATAACAACAGTGGGCATATCGTAAGCACATCAAGCCACTGTGGGCACAAGTACAAATATCTCCTACGATGATCCCTACGATCGTCTGTTGATTGAGAGGGCAATACTGGAGACCAACAATCAAAGATCCATCTTCTACAAACAAATTCAACTATCAATCACCTGAGATTGGTGAAAGGTGGATATGGTATAGGGGCAACTGCTCTTCTACAAATACATCTAGAAGGTTGTAGTGGATACAACAGTCTTCCGCCAGCAAGCACAAGCAACTTGTGGATAACAACAGTGGGTACCTCGTAGGCACAACGAACCACTGTGGGCACAAGTACAATCAACGCCCACCTGAGATTGGTGAAAAGGTGGATATGATGCAGAAGCAATGGGTCTTCTACAAACATTTTCAGGAGGTCGTAGTGGATACAACGGTCCCCTGCAAATGAATATTTGTGGATAACAACAGTGTGTTGTATAACGAATCACTGTGGACACAAGCACAGATATCACCTACGACAACGGTGATCAAAATCTAAATGTACACCGGGTACAAAGGCAGCCCGATGTATGAAAAAGGACACCCCCTGGCAGAAGGTAGGAAATGTTTGAACAAATTAGAACCAAACTTCCTGGTGTTCCAAAGTTTATTCTTAGTTCTATACTTAAGAAAAAAATAGTTCTGGTGCCCACAAACACCGGAAATAACAAGTCCACTACACTAACGATCTCAAAGGGAGTTCTCTTCAAAACAACGGACTTCAAGGTCCAGAAAGTCCTGTCCCCGGTGAATGAGAAAGGGGGAGGGGGTCAACATCAAGACCAAATCGCCACCGGATCTGCAACATCTATGAAAGCAGACAGAAGGCGACCACAATCTATAATGCAACGCCACCGGATCTGCAATACTCATGCAAGCAGACAGAAGGCGTCTATAACCTACAACGCCTCGCCACCGGATCTGCAACATCTATGAAAGCAAACAGAAGGCGACCACAATCTATAATGCAACGCCACCGGATCTGCAATACTCATGCAAGCAGACAGAAGGCGTCTACAACCTACAACGCCCCGCCACCGGATCTGCAACACTGATACAAACAGAAAGAAGGCATCTACAACATTCACATTCGGCCTTTAAGGCCTTCAACAAAGAAAATTCACAAACAAAGGCACAAAGCCTATAAGAAACCCGATCCTCGATCAACAGCCCGGTTGAGTTGACAGGGTTCAATCAATTAAAGTGGAAATGACCCCAGACACCCCGATGATGGCCGTGTTGAATGTAGATCTCAACCGGAGGGGTTCACAAAATATTTCAAAATGCCCTCAAACTTCTACAAAATTCAAATATTTTTCAAGTGACTTCGAGGTCACCCCGATGATGACCGTGTTGAACGCTAATCTCAACCGGAGGGGTCCATTTAATCCAAAGCTCCACCCAAATACTCCAAAAATTCAAAATCAATCCAAAAATCCAAGATATTTAAAATTAAAATTTATCTATCAACTCTTAAAGCAAAATCCATCCACCCTCCGCAACAGTCTGCCGGGGTG